AGCATTGACCCTGTGCCAGTATGTAAACAGCGGTTGCACCATGCATGTGAGGTAAAGCCGCGAATGTCAGATCAAGGGCAGTAATTCTAGCACTAGACCTCCTCTGTAAATCTAAGTTGGCATCTTGTAAAGGCTTTTATAGCATTGTCTATGGATATTAAAAATGTATGCAGTTTGTCGCCATTGCATGCGCATGAGCAGTTTTAACGCACGTCATGTTTGGTATCTATTTACTCGGTTATACCATCATCGGTTATATTTTTCCAAATAATTTTCCAATATATTCTGTTTTTGTGCATTAAAAGCAAAAACAAAGTATTTTTTTTTTTAAAAAAATTGCGTTTGACAATCTGCAGCACCCACCACTTTATTCACTAGGGAGTCTGCTTTAAAAATATATATAATGTTTGGGGGGTTCAAAGTAATTTCCTTGCAAAAAATACTGATTTTTTTTCATATGAACAAAAAGTGTCAGAAAAGGCTTGGTCTTCAGGTGGTTAGAAGAGTGAGTAATGCTGGGCATAAAATGCCCCCCACCCACCAAAATGATCCCTTTTTGGAAAGTAGACACCCAAAGTTACTATTTGCTAAGAGACATGCTGAGTCAACAGAAGAATTTATTTTTTGGGGGGGGGGGGTGGGGGGTTGGTGCTATCCTGGCATTTCATGGCCTCCGAAACTGTGATGATAGGTAGTAAGGAAGTGAAATGAGGAAGTTACGCACCTTCAGGATTTCAAAGTGGTCATTGGATTTCAGGCTCTTGTATGTGGCTAGGCTCCCAAAAAAGTCTCACATGTGGTATCCCCATACTTGGTAGACATAGCAGAAATGTATTTCGGGGTGTAATTTCCCATATAACTATGGCTTGTGTGAGCAATATATCATTTAAGTGACAACTTTGGAAAAAGACTTGCGGAAGGGAAAAAAAAAAAAAAAAAAAAAAAAAAAAAAAAAACAATTTCCATGGACTCAGTATATAGCTTAGGGTGTCTACTTTTCGAAAAGGGGGTCATTTGGGGGTGTTTGTACAGGCCTGGTATTTTAGCACCTGGTCAAAAAAAGTGATAGGCAGTCAAAAAAGTAAAATCTGTGTAAATTGCAGTATCTATACCATAGTTAGTAGATGGTATAACTTTCACACAAAGCAATCAATATACACTTATTTGGGCTCCCCTGAAGAGATAAGTTTTCAGAGATCGCCTAAAAAAACGTGAGCAGAGTAGCGATAGTCTGATAAATTGGGGTAGAGAGAGTTCCAGAGAATGGGGGAAGCTCTGGAGAAGAGCATGGGAGGAGGAGACAAGGGAGCTAGAGAGTAGGAGGTCTTGCGAGGAGTGGAGAGTACGGTTTGGGTGGTATTTGGAGACAAGAGCGGTGATGCAATTTGGGGCAGAGTTATAAATGGCTTTATAGGCTATTGTTAATGGTTTGAATTTTATCCGTTGGGCAATGGGAAGCCAGTGGAGGGATTGGCAGAGAGGGGGTGGCCATTTACAGAATGGTTAGTAAGGTGGATGAGTCTGGCAGCAGCATTCATGATAGACTGAAGAGGGGATAGCCTGCGATTAGGTAGGCCAATGAGGAGGGAGTTACAATAGTCAAGGCGAGATATAACAAGGGAGTGAATAAGTTGATTAGTACTTTTTGAGGTTAGGAACAGCCGTACCTTGGAAAGATCAGGACAGTGATTGGATTTGGGACCGAAAGGACAGATGGGAGTCTAGGATTACACCTAGTACCCTGGCATGAGGGGAGGGACTAAGGATTGTGTTATTGATCTGATTAAGAAGTCAGGGGAGGGGGGGGAGGGCACAGGTTGGGGGGAATAGAAAGAGCTCTCAGTTTTGGAAAAGATTGAGCTTGAGGAAGTGGAGTGACATCCATGGCGATATAATGTCACTTAGTAGGTTAGTAATGCAAAGGAGACTGAAGGGGTGAGGTGAGGGGTAGAAAGATTTGTGTGTCATCAGCATAGAGATGGTACTTAAAGCCATGGGAGTTTATCAAGTGACCAAGGGAGGAGGTGTAGATGGAGAAGAGGTCCAAAGGACGGAACCTTGAGGGATCCCTACAGAAAAAGAGGGAGGGATGTGAAGAGGAGGAGGGCAGCGTTATAGGTAACTCTGAAGGCGCACTGCGATACGAAGGAGGAGAACAAGGAGAGAGCAGAGTCTCGGAGGCCAAGAGAGGAGTTTTTTTGATGAGGAGGGGATGGTCAACCGTATCAAAAGCTGCAAAGAGGTCAAGTAGTAAGAGTATGGAGTAGTGGCCATTGGTTTTAGCAGTTAGTAGATCATTAGTGAGTTTTAGTAGGGCAGTTTCAGTGGAGTGTAGTGAGTGAAAGCCAGACTGTAAAGGGTCAAGAAGGTTGTTGTCAGTGAGGAGGGAGCTCAGGCGATTGTAGACTAGGCGTTCTAGGAGTTTAGAGGTAAATGGCAGCAGTGAGATGGGTCTTAAGTTGTTCAGGTTGGTGGGGTTCAGGGAGGGCTTTTTAAGTATGGGAGTGATCTGTACATGCTTTAGAGGGGAGGGGAAGGTACCGCTAGAGAGGGAGAGATTGAAGATGTGACTGAGGGAGGGAGCATAGGATGGAAGAAGAGGGTGACCGTAGTAGTTGTGAGGGGACAGTATCCAGGGGGCAGGTAGTGAGACAGGCTTCTGAGAAAACCTTAGTGACCTTTTCGGTAGTAGTAGCAAGGTCAAAAGAGGAAAGTGTTTGAGGGAGTTTTAGTATAAGGTATGTTAATTGGGATGGATGTCTGTGCAGTGGCAATGCCCCTACGAATTGCGTCAATCTTGTTTTTGAAATGATTTGCAATCTCGTGAGCAGTGAGTGTGGTACTGGATGGAGGTGGAGAAAGTAGAGAGTTAAAAGTAGAGAAGAGACGAGGACTGGATGACAAGGTATTAATAAGAGTGACAAAGTAGGCTTGTTTGGCAGCATGAAGGGAGGAATTGTATGTTAAGAAAGCAGATTTATATAGGGTGAATGCTTGTTGAGATTTCGTTTTACACCGCAATCGCTCCAGCGCACGACGATGTCGCTTAAGATTTCTGGTGTCAGTCTGCCAAGGTTGTAATGGTCGGGGCCTGATGCTTCAGGTTGTTAGAGGAGCAAGTGAGCCTAATGTGGATGAAAGCGAACTGTTGTAGACAGCAGTGGCAGGTCAGGGCAGGACAGGGGAGAGATTCTGTCAGAGTTGGTCAGTTGCATAGTGGAAAGGAGCAGGGTTAAAGTTGTGAAGGTTTCTGCGGGTAATTGTTTGCTGCTTGGAGGGATAGGTGTTTGATCACAATCTCATCACCTTCACAGTGTCCTAATCTTCAGAGAGAGGAAAGCGGGTGTTTGTGAGGTTGTAGGGAGTGCAAAGATGGGAGAAAATAAGGTCTAATATATTCCCATCAGAGTGAGTGGAGGACTGTATACGTTCTGCTAATGCAAACGATGAGGTTATGTTGAAGAGCAACTAACTGAAACAATACAGAACCAGACACTCACCATCTACAGGCAGGAAGTAATATTTCATGTTTACTAGGAAAAATATACATGAAATATAAATGAATATGCAGTTATTGATCTAATTATGCAAAAAGCAGATTGCAGATCTCTGTTCACTTATTTCATAATCCGGTATTCAAACGTCCCATTCACAAGGGCATTCCAATCAGGAGGACCTGATCAGAAGGTGCATGGAGCCCTACAAACAGGTGGATGTAAATGCAATTGTGTTCATTTATACCCAACTACCAGGTCCAAGAGGGAAAAAGAAATAAAAAAAAAAAAAAAAACCATACACAAAAAAGGACTGCATCCTTTTCTGTTTTTTTTCTGGTACATTTACATTCGGCCACTCATAGAGCCACCAAGCAGAAACTGAATGGGCACGGATGTTAAAGCCCTGACATCAATCATGTTTGCTTCCAATCAACTGAGGATCTGCTCAAAGAAACTATGGTTTGGAGTAGACTGCTTCATGTGAAAGGAGCCAAAGTGAACAAGCATTTGCTTTTCAAATTCTCAACTCCTTTAGTAAATAAGTCACTCAATTGAGTCAATTCTGACACTCAGGTCTTTGCATGAACGAGCAAAAGGAGGGATATCTTGGACAAATGACTGAAATGTCAGTCACATAACTACGTATTGACTTCATCTGCCCAAGTACAGTATAAAGCAGGCAAATGCCATGAGCACTCCTTCTACTGCCCCCTTTATACCCTGTGAGCTGAAAATTAAAAAAAAGGAGTTTCTGTGGATGAGGTTCTAGGCAAATATACAACCTAAAAACAGAAAGAAATGATTTGCAAATGTCAAACCCATATTTTATTCACAATAGCAAATACAAAACGAATCAAATGTTTAAGAAAAAAAAAATAAGGTCATTTTGAAATTGATGGCAGCAACACATTTCAAAAAAAGTTGGGACAGGGCAACTAAAAGTTGGCAATGTAAGTGGTACGTACTACCAAGGAAATGCTGGAAGAACATTTTGAAACTAACTGGGTAAACCTCCCGAGCGGTCTGATTATGTCCATATTTCTGTGCTCAAAGCAGTACTTTTTTTGCATGGAAATATGTATTTTTTTTTATTGTAGGCCTGTAATTTTTAGGAATAACTCACTGAAATCTGTCCGAACAAGAGTCTAGTAAACATCCCGGGTATGATAAAATTTGAAACACTAAATCATAAATTATAATTTAATAAATAATCGTAAAAAAATCTAATAAAATTAATTCAATAATATAATCAAACCAAAAACACTGAAATTTGAAATATAGTGCCAAGTTCGCACATCACTGAGCAAAGTCGCAAAATTGTTTTCAGTGTCTGATGATGAATTTCCGCACGAATCATCACTCAATTCTACAAGTGGTTCTAATTTACTATAGCTGTTCTCTAGCTGGTCTAAAACCGCTTTTGACCTAAAGCGATGCTTTTTGGACGTTTCTCAGTTTCCAGGCAATAAGAACAGTAAAAATGCAGGCAGGGCACAGGACAAAATGTATGTGAAATGGTTTGATACAGTAATGTTTTACTATGTGATTTTAGTGAATGTCACTTTTTGTCATTTTCAAATTTCCCGCCAGTTACGTCTCCCGTACGTCCCGACGCTCGCAGGGGACGGAACCCAGATGACAGATGCCGGCATCCGCCGGATTACATTGCCGTGGACACTGCAGGAGGGACATCGTGGGAGCGCAGGACATGGCAAGTGAAGAACAGATGCCGGAGCAACGCCGCATGGTATTCCGAGTGTAGCTCGGGGTTACCGCTTTTGGTACTGAAACTTTACCCCGAGCTACACTCGGGAATACCGTCAGGGAGGTTAATTGGCAACAGGTCAGTAACATGACTGAGTATAAAGCGTCAGTGTCTTAGAAGTAAAGGTGGACAGAGGTTCACCAATGTGAAAAGTTGCTGTCGAACAATTTCAGAATACTGCTCAATGTACAAATTTAAAAGACTTTAAAATATATAAATTTACAGCACATATCAAAAAGATTCTGAGAATCTGGAGAAATATATGTGTGGAAGAGACAAGGCCAAAAGGCATTACTTCAGACAGCACTGCAATAAAAACAGGCATGATTCGGTGATGGACATCACTACATGGGCTGAGTAATACTTCCAAAAGTCACTGTCCGAACAGTTTGCAGTGCCATCCACAAATGCAAGGTAAAAAACTCTCATGCAAAGAAGCCATATCGGAAATTGATCCAGAAACGTTACCATCTTTTCTGGGCCAAAGCTCATTTTACATTGTTTGTTGCAAAGTCGAAAATTGCTCCCTGGTCAAATTAAAACAGGGTATTCCTTTTTGCCAACCATGACCATCACGCAGTGTTATTTCAGTCAACGAAAATATTTGTCACCATTGTTGTCAGGGGCATGTTTTCGGTGAAGAAAACAAAACGAAAAACAATTCCAATTTTCGTCAAACGAAAACATGAGGCACGGACGTTTCTCGCAACAAAAATTGATTTTACTTAAAGACATTGTATAACAACTAAGTTTGTGTCTGTGTATTTTGTTCAAACCTTAATACCATAAATAACAAGTTATTAGATTTTTACTCCAGGAGTAGATGAGTTTAGAAATGCTTCAATAATACATTACAATTTAACTAAAACCCATTAGATTTTAGTCAACTAAAATGTACTGGAGATTTTAGTCTACTAAAAAAATACGACCAAAACAAACAATTCAGATGACTAAAACGTCATTTTACTTAATTTTGATGTCAAATTTAGTTTGTCATAGACTTTTAACACTGGCGCCGCGTCCTCCAGACTAAAGAGGGAGAAGCACCTTCTGACTTATGACCACTCAGCTCAAAGGCTGCATTCACTGATGGTATGAGGGGTGCATTAGTGCATATGCGATGGGTAGTTTGCATGTCTGGAAATGCACCATCAATGCTGAAAGATATATCCAGGTTTTTAGAGCAGCATATACTCCCATCCAGATGAATCTTTTTCAGAGAAGGCATTGCATATTTCAGAAGGACAATGCTAAACTGCATACTGTATCTATGATAACAGCATGGCTTCATAGTAGTAGAGTCCCAGGGGTAGGCAACCTGCGGCTCTCCAGCTGTTGCAGGACTACACGTTCCATCATGCCTCTGCAAGTCATAGCTGTAACTGTCAGTTTTGTAAAGTTGCAATGCCTCATGGGAAATGTAGTTCCAGAACAGCTAGAGAGCCGCAAGTTGCCTACCCTTGGTCTAGGTGCTTAAAGCAGAACTAAGCCCTCCTATCTTTTTCAGCCAAGGAAGCGGCCATCTTACCTTCTGATCTGCAACTGCCATGGTGCTGCACATGTGATCAGTTATGACACCAGCTATTTGATGGTCTGACAGTTTTGTCGACAGCACAAGCAATTATGACAGTAAGGGCTCGTTCACACTTGGCTGTTTTACCAACGCTTGCCAAATGCCCCTATAGCGTTTGGCAAGCGTTGGTCCGACATTTGCGGAGCGGTTTTTAACGCTTGACAAACGCCGCATGCGCGGTTTAGCGGCGGTTGCTAGGCATTTGCTGAGCGTTAATAACGCCCCACAAACGCCTATAATGCAGTTTGAGTGGTGTTACCGCTCCGCAAACGCCCCGCAACCGCACCGCAAACGCCGGCTGGGCGTTTGCGGAGCGGCACCATAGACGAGAATAGGAGGCTTCAACGCCTCCTGACTCAACCAGAGGAGTCTGTTTTGCCGCGACGCAAAGCCACACAAACGCTCCCGTTAGAACAGCACCATGTGCTGTAATGTGCAGAATTGGCAGAGGCGTTTGGGAAGCGGTAAAAACGCTTCCCAAACGCCTCACTGCCGCCTGCACAAAACGCTAGTGTGAACGTAGCCTTAGAAGTGCTGACATGCCGGGAATGTAATGTTTTTTTAAAACTGTGAAATCAATGGGTTTAGTTCTGCTTTAAATGGCCTGTCTGCAGCCCAGACCTTTCAACAATTGAAAATATTTTGCCACATCTTGAAATGAAAAATACGATGACCAAAGATGACCCAGGACAGTTAGATTCCTATAACAGGTAATGGGACAACATTCTTCTCAAAAAACTCCAGCAATTGGTGTCCTCAGTTTTCAGCTGTTTACAGACATTTAGTGTGTTGTTAAAGAAGAGCAGATGCTACGCAGTGGTAAATATGATGCTGACATCAATTTCAAAATAACCTTCATTTTTGTTTTCTTAAAATGGTCCATTTTCTCAGAAAAGCATATCAAAAGTTTACGCTATTTGCTATTGTGAATAAAATATAAGTTTATGAGATTTGCAAATCATTGCGTTGTTTTAAGATTGATTTCAAAACACCCCTTTTTTGGAATTGCGTTGTAAAAATATTTTATCAAACATTAACTAATATTTTTATGATCATCATATACGCATGGAATTATTAGCTTAGTTTAGGCCTGGCTATAGTGTTTTTTGAAAAATGGTCTTTGACCTCAAGGCAAAAGTGTGATCAGTTAGGTTGGCACATTTCAGTAAATAACGGTTTTCCTGGGATACCAGCAGTATCACAAAGTATTTGTAGGTTAGAGATGTATGTGCATGCGATTGTCCAGAATCTGGATAAAGACTGGATTTGTTAAAATACAATTTAAAGTCTATGGCCACAGAACAACCAACCAACCAACCAGAGCTTAACCTTGGTTGGATGTTAGCAAATGTTTTTGACTTGAATGCATTTAACTGGGGGGGGCAGGGCTGAGTCATGCTCTGTGCATCTATGTACACAAACAGCTGGCTAGGAAATGCTGGACAGACTGCAAGGAAACACCCTGGGAAACATCTCTTACATACCTGAGTCCCACTCCGTGTACCTTTTATATAATACACCCCTCTTCTCTTTCATATTACTATCCTCTGTTCCCAAATCTCATTTCTTTACCCCTCTGCTCCACCCCAAAACTTGTACATCTACCCCTCATTTGCTATCATCTCCCTACTATTGCTTTCATCACCTCCCCAAAATGCCTCTTCCACTCCTCCTTCTCATTTTCCTCTCCTCTGTTCCCAAAATCCATTCACTATATCCCTCTGCTCCTCCCAAACATTTGTATATTGTGCCCTCACTGCTTCCCTCACCCCTCTATGGCACCCACCACCTCCTCCTATTACTCCACTCTCCCACTGACCCAAACACCTCCACTAGTAGTTTCTCACACTCTCCTGCACATCCCGCTCCCATGCCACCTTTCTCACCCTTCTCCTCCTCATAACCGCGGGGGACATCTCCCCGAATCCTGGCCCTCCACCACCTCCCTCACCCGCACAAAACCCTCCCGCCTCCACGTCCTGCCGCAACCCCCGCAACTTAGTATCTGTCCCCCTGCTCCCTAAAATCTCCCCCCCCCCGTTTTCATGTGCACTCCTGAACGCCCGATCGGTGTGCAACAAGCTTACCGCCATCCACGACCTCTTTTGTTTTTCCCGCTCCCTCAACCTCCTGGCGATTACGGAAACCTGGATCCAGCCCACTGACTCTACCTCCCCTGCTGCACTCTCCTACGGCGGTCTCACCTGGACCCACTCACCCAGGCCCAACGGTCGTAAAGGTGGTGGGGTTGGCCTGCTCCTGTCACCGCTGAGCACCTTCCGAGTCCTCCCAAACCCCCCCCCCTCCCTATCCTTCTCCTCCTTCGAGGCCCACTGCGTCCGACTATTCTCCCCAACCCCCCTGAAGATTGCTGTGATATACCGGCCTCCTGGATCCATACCCCGCTTCCTGGAAGACTTCTCCTCCTGGCTACCCTTCTTCCTCTCCTCTGAGCTACCCACTATCATCCTTGGGGATTTCAACATCCCTGTCAACCTCGACAACCCGGACACAGCCCGTCTCCTCCACTTAACCTCCTCCTTTGCACTTGCACAGTGCATACAATCCACCACCCACTCCGACGGTAATATCCTTGATCTTGTCTTCTCCAACCGCTGCGCTCCCCACAACCTCACTAACACCCCCTTCCCTCTCTCTGACCACAACCTGATTACCTTCTCTATCTCCTCATCCTCCAACGCCTACCCCTCCAAATGTCACACTACTACCAGCCGTAACCTCCGCAACCTTAACCCTGCCTCCCTCCACTCCGCAGTTGATCAACTCCATGACCGCATCCTCCCCCTGTCCTGCCCCGACTTGGCTATGACCGCCTACAACAATGCGCTGTCAACAGCCCTTGACTCACTAGCGCCTTTAACCACACGCAACATCAGACCCCGACCGCTCCAGCCCTGGCAGACTGATCACACCAAAACCCTCAAACGACACAGTCGTGCCCTGGAGCGACTATGGCGCAAAACCAAATCCCAACAAGCCTTCACCCGATACAAATCTGCCTTCCACACCTACACCTCCTCCCTCCATACTGCCAAACAAGCCTACTTCCTGACCCTCATCAAGGCCCTCTCCTCCAATCCTCGCCGACTCTTCTCCACCTTCAACTCTCTACTCTCGCCACCCCCCCCACCAACCCAGCACCTCACTCACTGCCCTTGAGATTGCCAATCACTTCAAAAACAAGATTGACACAATTCGCAAGGACATTGCCGCAACTCACACGCCTTCTCAACCCGTCCCCTCTCACACAGCTACCCCCTCATCCCCCCTCCCCCTCGACATAACCCACAGGGACTTCGTCGCTGCTCAAACTCCCTCCAACCCCCTTCCCCCTCACTCAGCTACCCCCTCTACACCCCTCTCCCACGGCCCCACCACTGCTCTGACCTCCTCTCCCACCCCACCCTACATTCCTCATACTGAAGCTCCCCCAACACTCCGCACCTTTGACCTTACTACCATCGAAGAAGTCT